ACAGCTAGCTCTTCAGTTGCAGGTAACACCCTTACTGTGAGCTCTCTAACCCTCTGTTATCCCCGATGAGGGAAGGGAACAAGGATATGTTTCGGAGTGGAACTTGGTATGAGTTTTACCACATTTGACTAAGGATCAAGAGAGGGTGAGGCCAAAGAGAGCCTGCTCTGGGATCTGCTAAAACAGCTCCTAAATGAAAGAGAAATAGGCCAGAGTCTTATTTGGGTAGTAGTCATGTCTTCCTGCCAAAGCACAAGTCCTACTCCTTGACAAATGATGACCAATCTAAGTGTCAAATAAGATTGTTAGCCTTAGGAATTAATCTCTGTGCCACCATTTTAACAGGAGGCTTCATTCTTCTTTTCTTATCCAGAACTAAGAGAAAAAAAATGAATATGGTTTTTGCTCACAGGATGGAGAACAGCAAGCCGCCTTTGGTTATTCCGACACTTCTGGTGCCCCTCCAAAACCACAGCTGCCCTGACACAGCCACAACTCTGCCAAGCCGTGATCTGGCGGAATTATACCAGGAGCACGGCTGGATGAGCAACGGAACAGACTTGCAATATGGACTGAAACCTGGGGAAGTGGCCACAGCCAGCATCCTCTTTGGGACCCTGTGGTTGTTTTCTGTCTTTGGCAATTCCCTGGTTTGTTTGGTCATCCATAGGAGTAGGAGGACTCAGTCGACCACCAACTACTTTGTGGTCTCCATGGCGTGTGCTGATCTTCTTGTCAGCATCGCCAGCTCGCCTTTCGTCCTGCTGCAGTTCACCACTGGAAGGTGGACACTGGGCAGTGCAATGTGCAAGGTTGTGCGATATTTTCAGTATCTCACCCCAGGCGTCCAGATCTACGTTCTCCTCTCCATCTGCATAGACCGGTTCTATACCATTGTCTATCCTCTGAGCTTCAAGGTGTCCAGAGAAAAAGCCAAGAAAATGATTGCAGCATCCTGGATCTTTGACGCAGCCTTTGTGACCCCTGTGTTCTTTTTCTACGGCTCCAACTGGGACCATCACTGTAACTATTTCCTCCCTTCCTCTTGGGAGGGAACTGCCTATACTGTCATCCATTTCTTGGTGGGCTTTGTGATTCCATCTGTCCTCATTATCTTATTTTACCAGAAGGTCATAAAATATATTTGGAGAATAGGCACTGATGGCCGAACTGTGAGGAGGACAATGAACATTGTCCCAAGGACAAAAGTGAAAACTGTCAAGATGTTCCTCATTTTAAACCTATTGTTTTTGCTCTCCTGGCTGCCTTTTCATGTGGCTCAGCTGTGGCACCCCCACGAACGAGACTATAAGAAAAGTTCCCTTGTGTTCACAGCGATCACATGGATATCCTTTAGTTCTTCAGCCTCTAAACCTACTCTGTATTCAATTTATAATGCCAGTTTTAGGAGAGGAATGAAAGAGACTTTTTGCATGTCCTCGATGAAATGTTACCGAAGCAATGCCTACACTATCACAACCAGTTCAAGGATGGCCAAAAAAAACTATGTTGGCATTTCAGAAATCCCTCCCATGGCCAAAACTACAACCAAAGACTCAGTCTATGATTCATTTGACAGAGAAGCCAAGGAAAAAAAGCTTGCTTGGCCCATTAACTCAAATCCACCAAACACTTTTGTCTAAAATCTCAGAATTCTTTCGATTATTGTTATGCACCAGAGATTAAAAAGCTTTAACTATAAAAACAGAAGCTATTTATATATTTTTTTCAATCAACTTTCTGAGGGAAGTGTTTTCTTTTGTAAACTGTAGTCACTTATCAATTATAGTTTTAATTTTAGTTGCTTTTTGTTTTAGGGGAAGCATTCACCATGAGTTCCTTTTACTATATTAGTTACATACACAAAAAAGATAATGCATTCCTACTTTTAATTTACCATTAGGTTTAAAAAGCATAAACCACACACATAGTCTTTGATTAACGAATCAACCTAGTTCTATTGTTTCCTTCTTCTCATTCCTACTGAAATGCTGTATCTGTGGGCTTCTGTTTTAAATGGAATCCTCTCTGTCACACATTTCAGAGACGTGTATTTCTTTCATTAAGAAACATTTAGGAAGTATTAATATTGTATATGATTTTACATTACCTTCTTCTAAGTAATCATGGTCCAGAAAGCACTGCCTATACAGTACTGGAAATATACTGGAACTGCTGGACAGTCTTCTGTGATTGAATCTTAATCAGGATTCTTTGGGAAAGAAAGCTTATAGAGTTGCCTAATCTCTCTCTTTTCATTTTCCCTTAACTTAAGTAGCTGGTGATGCCCTGAAAAATTTCAAGTCAATGGGATGTTTTTCTCCTACCTGTGTCTTAACTCAGCTGTGTCTAGGACACTTTCCTTCTCTGAGTTAAACTCAAGCAAATGGGCAGGTGCCCTTGCTAGGCAAGCCCAGAAAATGCCAAAAGTAAAAATGACAGATGGCATTTCTCTGTGCTCTGCCTTTTGGCTGCCTGGCCCAAACTCTATCCACTAGGGTTGCAAGGGCAAGGAATACTTTCTTCTTCTTCCCACAGGCTCAGACACGAGGCCATTTCTCCAGCCAGTGCCTCCTCCCCACATCTCTCCAGGACACATCATCATTCCCTCGCCAAACTCAACTCTTCTTTGGCTGTGATAACTCAGAATTTTCTTCTCTGGTTGCCAGGTCTCCGTTATTTCAAATCTAGGACCAGCACAATTTTAAAGTGTTCTTATTAAAACAATAAAGGGCTTACAGACAAGACTGGCATGCATTTTCACACCCTCGTTACCAAGAGCTGCAAATAATCATCGAAGTTGCATTATCTCATTTGGTCCTCTCAAGAATGCTGTGATATACTTATTATCATCTCTGCTTTACTGCTGAGGACAGTGGAACTCAAAGTTATGTGACATGTCCAAGTCAGAGTGGGACAGAGCTGGTAGTCACACACAGGCCCTCTAACTACAGGTCTGCTTCTCTTTCCCTGACATTACAGAAGTGTCTCTAGAGAGCATGAGTGGCCAAACCCATCCAGGCCTCGACAGGCTTCCTGGCTGCCGCTTTGGTGGTAGTCTAAGGTCTAAGAGAACCTGGCCATTCTTTTTTTTAATCCTCACCCGAGGATACGTTCCATTTAACTTCAGATAGAGTGGGAGGGATGGAGAGAGAGAAAGAGAGAGAGAAACATCGATGTGAGAGAGACACATCGATTGGTTGCTTCCCGCAGGACCCTAACCAGGGCTGGTAATGAACCGCAACCTAGGTACGTACCCTTGACCAGAAATGAACCCGAGACCCTTTGCTGTGCGGGCCAATGCTCCAACCACTCAGTCAAACCGGCCAGGGCAAACCTGGCCATTCTTAAAAGGACAATCTAGATGAAACTTAATGAGCTGGTTCTCACCTTTTCCTTGGCCATGATAGGTTCTTGGACTTTAGTGCTAAACTTCTGACAGAAAGAACCCTGTGTATTCCCACCTCACAGACACAGGGAAACAAGACAAGACTGGGTTTGATATTTGGGTCAAGGAAAAACAATAAAGCAATTCATCTGCAAAACATCTACAGAGCTGGTGTTTTTTTGTTTTTTGTTTTTTGTTTTTGTCCTCACCTGAGGACATTTTTCCATTTTTTGTTCAGATAGAGTGGGAGGAAGAGAGAGAGAGAGAAAGAGAGAAAAACATCGACGTGAAAGGGACACATCAAGTGGCTGCCACCCGCACGACCAACCAGGGCCGGGGACAAACTGCAACCGAGGTACACGCCCTTAGCAGCAACCGAATCCAGGTCTCTCTGGACCACAGGCCGATGACGGTCTAACCGCTGAGCCAAACTGGCCAGGGCAGAGCTGGTGTTTTTAAGTGGAGGCGCTTCCTTGAACACATTCAAAAAATAAACATAATAGCTTGTATTTTTCTTCCTTTTCTTTCTCTTCATATTCGTACTCATCCCATGAGCAAAAGGCACTCTAAAAACGACAAAATAAGCCCAATGTTCATCTACCTTGGCCCTTGAATTTTATGGTTCAAACTTATTTTAAAAAATTAAAGTGATTTTATTTTCTGCCCTTTTATTTATTTTATCCTCACCCGAGGACATTTTTTTCCATTTTTTGTTCAGATAGAGTGGGAGGGAGGGAGAGAAAGAGAGAAAGAGAGAGAGAGAGAGAGAGAGAAACATCCACGTGAAAGGGACACATCGAGTGGCTGCCACCTGCACAACCAACCTGGGCCGGGGACAAACTGCAACCGAGGTACATGCCCTTAGTGGGAACCAAACCCGGGTCTCTCTGGACCGCAGGTCCACACTCTAACCACTGAGCAAAACTGGCCAGGGCTATTTTCTGCCCTTTTAAATTGAATGTTATTTTTTAAAGTTAGGTTGTAAAAAGCTAAAGTTAATTCATTTAAATTTATTTTTATGTATACTTTCGGTCTCAGTTTAAACAAAAAGAAACCAGATTACTAAGCTGTATCCTGTCTTTAATGTTCTATGAGTTTATCCCAGTAAGTGGAAATTGAACTTATTGGGATAAATTTATTATAGAACTTACTAGTTTTTTTTAAACTCTCCCAAATAATGACAAATTAAAGTGTTAATCAAATTATAACTGAGAGAGCCTCCAAATCTCACAACCTATGAAAACTCATCTATACTCTCTCAGGTTATTGGCAATTCACTATACTTTAGTTTAGTTTAGTTTACTATGTAACAACCCTATTGTCTCACTTGACCCTGAAACTGGAGACAGTCAGATGTAATGCCCAGACTGATGAGTATCTGCACACGTCTCAGCACCACAATCTTCAGCAGACCTCCCACTTACCTGGCAAGAACTAGGGTTAAGTCACAGGGAGGCAGGCTTTTACAGAGAACAAGAAAACTGCTCCAGTCTCCTTACCAGGCACACGACGATGTGCACCACGAATCTGTATTCACATGGCCTCCAAACAGGAGCTCAAGAAAGTGACAGGGGGCCGGGGGTAGGGATCAGAGTAGAGGCAGTTCTCCTACCTGGATCCAGGTTCCCACAGACTCAGGAAGGAGTAGGGATGCATCCTTTGAGGTGGAGTTTGAATGTCTCCCTTTCTTCTAATCTTCACTGAAAGCATTAGTGTATTCTTTAAAGATTATAAAAACTCCTCTGATCCCCCCCAACACACACACACACACACACACACACACACACACACAGCATTAGTGTAACCAGCCTGTACTTCCTGCTCAGATGTGCTTGCCTGCAGACTTTCCCTCACAGGTTTACCCAGGATGCCTGCAGCCGACTCCCTGGGCCAGGGTTCTTGCTCAGGAAGAACAATTCTATCCACTAAGCCTTGGGAGCAGTCACCTGCCAGACAGGTTGGCACCTTTGCCTCTCCTGGGGGGCACAGTCCTTCCCTTTACCTCTCCAGCCTTACTGCTACCTGCTCAAATTCACCAATTCAGGTCAACATAACCAAGATCTGCTGGAGGTTCCACCCCTCTGTAAGAACCACATGTAAAAGAAGCAAGAAAGCATCAAAGATTCTTCTAGTAGAAGGGATGTTGGGAGACTCCAGCACAAGCCCCTCATGGTTTAGAAGAGAAATTAAGACAAACAGGGGTCAACTTAAGGGTAAACTAAAATGACTTCTACTACCAGTCCAATATCCTTTTCGCCATTCTGTTTGTCGTGGCATGACTCATTTATTGGAGAAAAAAATCCTCACTGTGTGCAGAAGAGTATAAACAATTCCCCACCGTTCAGTTAAACTGCTAATTTACCTGGAACAGAGCCGGCTTTACGGTGCTCTAATGAGTGGAAATGCAAGCCGACTTTGTCAAACTATTCTGCAGAGTGACCGCTTGATGGCACTGTGGCTAGTAGGCAGAGCCCACCACCTCTTCGGACGACGGTCTCATTGGCGATTTCAGAGAAGTACTCGTCTCATAGCAACAAGACAGTGAAAATTGCTGAGCACCCAGAGCAGCTGTAGATGAACTAATCAATCAGTGTGTTCAAAACACGAAGCATCTAAACATTGGAGGAAATTCCAAAATAATTAATACCTTTTACAGATGTGAAGTCACTAGTCAAAATATTATTTTAAACCCATTTTATACGAATGATATCATTAAAAAAAAAATCAGACCACCAAAACGAGCAGTAGTCTCACCCACACTTACAAGGGCCTCTGCTCCTCTTATCATTTGACCTTGAGAATTCCTGGACCTATCATAGCAGTGTAATCTAGACCTTCCCTAAGAGTCAATGTTCCTATGCTCCTGGACCTAAATTTATGTTCGGTCCGTTTCATTTACTCAAACCTTCTTTAATTTTTTCAGCCCCTACAATTTGAACCATTATAAAGTTTTTGCTCAACTTAACACTTCTGTTCAAAAGCTCTGTATTCTTTCTCAAAAGAAGCCTCTTTAAAATATGTATTGCTTTAAAAACTCTCTATCAACCCTATACAGTTAGGGTTCACCTATAATTTGTAGAAAGTGTGATTTTAGTTCCACAGCAAAATGACCCCCACACACAGGTGCTGGGCTCTGCAGTGATGAGCCATGTGTACCCAGTTTCAGGATTAGGACACAGGTCTGGAAGTTTGAAAACATAATCTGGTTTTTAGCAGGCAGTCAACAAGGCCGTTCCAGCTGTTCGCCCACAACAGCTAGACAGAAGAGATGAAAACGCCTTTAGGGGATTTTGAATGGGTCTCTATTCTGCTTCCCTGGTATCTCATGCACCCATGAGGTGCCACAGCAAAACTTGCATGATTTCCCCCCCGCCCCCCTTTTTACAATTTCACAGAGAGAAGATTTGTTTTTTCTGAGCATATGGATTTTTCTCTTTCAAGTGGAGCACTTTCATCTTTCACTTAACAGAGACACTTCACAGCTTCTCTTGGGCGTATCTGAATTGCCAGTATCACTACTCTTGCGCTAGAGGTCAATATTAAGTAAAATAAGGTGACTCAAACACAAGCACTGCGATACCATAACAGTCCATCAGACAGCTTAGATGGCTGCTAAAGTAACTAACAGGCAGGAAGTGTATACAGGTGGAAATGCTGGTAAAGGGACAATTCACTAAGTGATTAAGGGGCGAGATGGAGCAGGATGGCGTGGACATTATCAAGCTTCTCAGATTGGTGGGCAATTGAAAACTTGTGAATTGTTTATTTCTGAAAATTTCCTTTTAATATTTTCTGACTGTGGTTAACCAAGAGGGTAACTGAAACTTTGGAAAGTGAAAACATGGGTAAAGGGGAACTACTGTATTGCTTTAAAAAGAGCCTCCAACTATATACCATTCTAGGAGTAGGCATGATATAGCTAGATATAGTAGGCATATTCAGAAATATAATAACTACAACATTACATACTTACTTTTATTTTTTTGTTAATCCTCACCCAAGGATATTTTCCATTGATTTTTTTTTTTTTTTTTTAATTAGATAGAGTGGAGAGAGAGGGAAAGTGAGAGACAGAACCAATGATAGGAGAGAGACACATCGATTGGTTGCCTCCCACATGACCCGGACGGGTCAGGGATCAAACTTGCAACCCAGGTACATGCCCTTGACCAGGAATCGAACCTGAGATCCTTTGGTCCGGAGGCTGACGCTCTAACCACAGAGACAAACCAGCTAGGGCAACACTTCATATTTAGATTCCAGCTCATTAAGTAAATGTTTATTGTTAGTGATTTAAAGTCTAACAATTTGTCAAACCCAGGCATATGTGAATATTTGAAACTTAATGTAATTCTTGACTATGTAAAAAGCAGTGTCTCATAATTCATATTTAGCTTACCAATGACTTACTCTATGAAAGTTATTGTCCCTCTTTTTTTATAGATGAGGAGTCAGGTTGAAAGATTAAATAATTTAAGGTGACTTAGAAAATGGATCCAAGACCAGTTTTCTACCTAAATCTCACACTCTTTTTACTACTTTACTTTTATACAGACATATTCCGGTATTGTGAAACAGACCATTTGAGATATCTCTGGTGAAGATATTTTATTTTTCATAAAAATATAATTGTACAATATTCTTCAGAGAAAGAAAAATCCCTTCAATGCCCCAAAATACCATGTGGTTTAACAGTAACCTTTCTTTCCCTTAAAACTAAATATGTAATTGATAATAAGCAACTGATTTCTTGTGAAATGCAGCATTTATGTTTCCCTTTATTTTAACTGAAGGCAAGTCCAGTTTAAACCTATACTTTTGTAATAAGCCAAATCATGTCTATCATAATTCAAAGATGATAAAAGAAAGTGCCAAATGACGAAGCTGATAAATATTGCCAATTAGCTAGTAAACTATGATATGAATTTACTGTAATAAGATAGATTCTGATTTAAATACAATGCAAAGATTTTAGATAAAATAGAAAAAAATTTAAGAATTTCAACCATATTCTAAAACTTGACCTGGTCAAACTTATTCCATATTCTATTCAGTCACTCTAATATATGGTAGGTTTATGCTAAATTAATGATAGATTATGACTGGTCTAAATTTACAAACATATCTCCACCTCCCCAACCCCTTTACCTTCCTTTTTCTTTGGGGAAAAAAGAAGAAAATATTGCTTTGTGACTCAGCAAGAACCTCACTGATCCAGAGGGACCGGGCTCACTGACTTCTCACCCTCCTGTTCCCTCTCAGCCTGTCCTTACAGATCAGTGAGAGATGCTAGATTTCAGTGTGCTGCTCCCTAACTGAAATGGGGAAAGAAATGCTCCAGCTGTTTTAATCAGTGACATTTATTAACATGCTTCAAGTGGCCAAAGCGTGCAGGGAGCACAATACCCAAAGCAATCAAAACATTCCTTTTTAAAATCAGGGAACCTTCTCTTGGTTTTGATCTACTCCAAAATACCAAATAGGTAGGTTTAGGAATAAACTCAAATAAATTGTAATTACTTTCATCCAAAATTATACATCTTCTACCTGACCTGAGGACAAAGTCACTGCTCTTATAAAGATACTGGGGGGGGGGGGGGGGGGGGGGGGCAGGGGTATAGCTCAGATAAATGACCCTGTAATTTAAAATTACAACCAGAGAAGAAATACTTCAAGCACAATGGAGACATTGCATTGAAGAGCTACATTCATTTTGGAATGTTTGCTTTGAAAACAACTCTTCTGGGGAATTTAAAAGGTACTGAACAAAGTAACAAAGAGTACATCTTGGGTTGTTTTGCAAAACAGAAAATATACATTTGAGTAGACCAGATGGCAAAACAGACCCATTACAACCTGAACACTATACTTAAAACACTTAAATCCTGAAGGACTGAATATTAACAATCCTTTATCTATATTTGTGATCCTAAAAAGACATTAAATACTCTTAAACCCCCACCCAACCAAAACACAAAGAGACCCAACAGTCTGGGCTAGTGGTATATCAGTAGTCACACAGGACTAGAGATCTGAGTTTGCAACCTAAGCACAAGAGATCTTTAGGAACTCAGGCTAAGGGGAGGCACTTTATTCAAATGCATAGCCTAAGGGAAGCGGTGGGGGAAGTACCTGTTATCTGAAACTATGGGGCCCATCTCTGTTCCACCTCACAGACAATGTAGAATATGATGCCTCCTCTTCAACTACCTCTTCATAACAAAACATATTTTGTTTGGAAGTCAAATATTTGCTTCATTAGAGCCAAGGACAATGACAAGTTAGCAGCAACAGGGAACACAACTCCTGATTTAACTCTGGGAAAGAAGAGAGAGGGTCTCAATGGGGAAATCAAAAGATTCCTAGATCTACTTGAGTGTATCGTACTATGAGCTGGATTCCTCAACCATCACTCCATTTGGTGGTCAGGAAGACTGTAAATGTCACTGCGATGGGCACTGGAAAGGACACTCCGCCCTCTGCACCTCCTAGCTGGGTGCTGTGCGTACTCGAGCTCCAGTGTTTCACTCCAGAGGGAGGCATAGCTGGGGCTGAACCAGACGCACACCTACAGTGTGTTTCTTCCTGGCTCAGAACACATTCATAGGAAACTCATGTCAGAGAAGAAACTAAGTGTTTTGGTTGTGGCTACAACTGTTAGATCTACCAGCAATTTGTCCCTCATTTTGTTCCAGATCTCTTGAGGCAGAAACTCAATCTCAGCAGCTAATTTTAGTCTATTCTCTTTAGAAAAAGTTTCCAAGTTAGTTGACTACACAAGGAAATGTGTGTGAACATTCATTCCTGCCCTCCCCACATGCACATATAGACATACAATAGAAACACATATATATATACTCTGGGTTATCAAGGCGATGTATGTGGCTGAAATGCCTAAAAGGTTATTTCTTGCTTAAAAATAAAATCTGACTAATTATTCTCCAAGTATGGATTAGGTTCTTGCAAATTATTATGAAGTTTGAGAAGACAGTGACAAAAGTTTTAAATAGAGACTGTCTTGAGGGCTTTCCTGATGGATGTAGTTAACATGTACATTATTTAAAACAGGCATATTATGGATTATAAAAATAGAAATGTATATATTTGTTAATACATATTCACAGCTTATGCTGGAATGGCTCACAGGAGAAATCATGGTTCATGCAGAAAATAGACGTTACTCAAGTGCATATAAAGAAATAAAATTAGGTCCATAAAGGCTAAGAACTTAGTCAGTAATCAGCCCATTTGGTTTCTCTTTACAGGGCAATCAAAAACATGAAAGGAGGTGACACCTAAACACACATACACATACAACTACATGGAAAGAATATAAATTAACCAATAAAGCATTGTGGAGTTAAGGTGCAAAAATACAATCTTTACCCATTGTTCTCTACTCCTGTGTTTTCAAGCACTGCGACATGTTAAATGCCAAGGATGGCAATACCAACCAGAACAGGTCTGAATGTTTGTAAATTTTCTAAGTGTTAAAAGTTAAAGCAAAATCCTTTGAGATCTATGATCACACATTTGGTAGAAACTGCAGATTTACAGAGATGACTATGGAGCAGTAGGTAGTAAATGAAGCCAAAAAGTATAATCTTGCCCATTCTTCCTTCATAGGAATCAGGATATTGACTTCAATCACTGACTTATCATTTTACATGATCTTCACCCTGAAAAATAAATCAAAGTTACCAATGTAAGAATGTTTTTAAGGTCAATAAAATTTAGTTAATCTGTCTTAAAATACATGGAAAATTTTTTTAAAAGTTTGGTATCTAGCCCTGGCCGATGTAGCTCAGTTGGTTGGAGCGTTGTCCTATGCACTGGAAGGTCATGGGTTCGGTTCCCAGTCAGGCCACATGCCTGGGTTGTGGGTTCAATCCCTGGTCGGGAATGTATGGGAGGCAACTGACTAATGTGTCTCTCGCATCAATGTTTCTCTCTTTCTATCTCCCTTCTTCCCCCTCTAAAAAAATTAATAAAAATATTTTTAAAGTTTGGTATCTACAAGAAGGCTATTTTAAAATACAGACTGAAAGCAAACTGAGCTGATTTGCCTTTTTATTTTTTTCACTCAATTTAGATTAAGCAAATGTTACCTCATCTAATAAAAGTTATCAACAAGCCAATCCTTCAGTTTTATAATTTTTTTTAAAAATTTGCAAAGTTTATACCCAGACACTGTGGCTCATTTGATCGAGAGTCATCCCATGCACCAAGAGGTCACCAGTTTGATTCCTGGTCAGAGCACTTGCCCAGGTTGTGGGCTCGATCCCCAGTAGGGGGCGTACAGGAGCCAACCAATCAATGTTTCTCTCTTGTTGATGTTTCTCTCTCTCCCTCTCCCTTCCTCTCTCTGAAATCAATCAATTAAAAATTTTTTTAAATAGCCCTGGCCAGTTTGGCTCAGCAGTTAGAGCGTTGGCCTGTGGTCCAGAGAGACCCAGGTTTGGTTCCCGCCAAGGGCACGTATTTTAATAGGTTGCAGTTTGTCCCTGGCCCTGGTTGGGTCATGCGGGTGGCAGCCACTCGATGCGTCCCCTTCACGTCGATGTTTCTCTCTTTCTCTTCCTCTCTCTCCCTCCCACTCTATCTGAACAAAAAATGGAAAAATGTCCTCGGGTGAGGATAAGAAAAAAAAAAATTTTTTTTTAAATAAATAAAGTAGTGCTGAATTTAGAAAGCAATATTAATAAAAAAAAAAAAAAAAAAGATGCAAAGTTGCCCAGCCAGAGTGCCTCAGTGGTTGAGCACTGACCTATAAACCAAGAGGTTGCTGGCTCAATCCCCAGTCAGGGCACATGCCCAGGTTATGGGCTAAATCCCCAGTGGGGGACACGCAGGAGGAGGCCAATCGATGTTCTCTCTCATTGATGTTTCTATCTCTCTCTCTCCCTTCCTCTCTCTCTCAAATCAATAAAGAAAAAGAATTTAAAGAGATTAAAAGTTTGTAACATTTTATTACAACTATTTCAAGTGCTCCCGAAGCAATCATAACGATGAAGAAATCAATGACATGACATCTTCATTCAAAAAAAAATTTTTTTTTTTTTAATCCTCACCCGAGGACATTTTTCCATCTTTTTGTACAGATAGAGTGGGAGGGAGAGAGAGGAAGAGAGAGAGAGAGAAACATCGGCGTGAAAGGGACACATCGAGTGGCTGCCACCCGTACGACCAACCAGGGCCGGGGACAAACTGCAACCGAAGTACGTGCCCTTAGCGGGAACCAAACCCGGGTCTCTCTGGACCGCAGGCGGACACTCTAACCGCTGAGCCAAACTGGCCAGGGCGACATCTTCATTCTAAAATCTGTATAGTCTCCTTAACAAATGGTGCTGGCACAACTGGATATTTACATGCAAAAGAATTAATCTGGACCCCTACCTCATACCATATAGAAAAATTAATTCAAAATGGATCAATGACCTAAATATAAGAGCTAAGACTAAAAATCTCTTAGAAAAAAACATAAGGATAAATCTGCATGACCCTGGATTTGGCAATGGATTTAGATATGACATACAAGGCATGAACAACAGAAGAAAAATAGATAAACTGGACTTCTTCCAAATTAAAATCTTCTTTACACCAAAGGATACTATCGAGAAAGAGAAAAGACAACTTACAATATGGGAGCAATATCTAAAAAATCATATATTTGAAAAAGGTCTAGAATCCAGAATATATAAAGAACTCTTACAACTGAACAACAAAATGAAAAAGAACTCCATTAAAACATGGGCAAGGGACTTAAAACAGACATTTCTTCAAAGAAGATATACACATGGCCAACAAGCACATGAAGAGATGCTCAACATCACTGGTCATTTGGGAAATGCAAATCAAAACCACAATCAGACACCACACCATTTCACACCCACTGGGAAAGCTATTGTTTTAAAAAATGGAAAAGAAAAAGTGTTGAAAAGATGTACAGAAATGGGAAGCTGGTGGGAGTGTAAAATACTTTAGCCACTGTGGAAATGTTTGTGGTTCCTGTAAAAATTAAATATAGAATTAACATGTGTCCCAGCAATTCCATTTATAGGTATATACCCTAAAGAACTGAAAAGTTACTCAAACACGCACTTGTACATGCATGTTCATAGCAGCCCTATTCACAACAGCCAAAAAAGAAAAGGTAGAAACAAAAATCCAACAACCAATGAATAGGTAATCAAGTTGTGGTATCCACAGACAATGGGATATTATGCAGCCATAAAATGTAATGAAGTACTGGTACATGCTACAATGTGACTAAACCTTGAAAACATTATGCTAAGTGAAAGAAGTCAGACAAAAAAGGTCACATACTATAGAATCCATTTATATAATATCCAGATTAGGTAAATCCATAGAAACACAAAGCAGATTCACAGTTGCCAGGGGCTGGAGAGAGGGGGTAATAGTGAGTAACTGCTATAATGAGTTTAGGGTTTTCTTTTGGGGTGATGAAATGTTTTGCAATTACATAGAGGTGGTAGTTGTACAACATTTTAAATGTAGTAAATGCCTCTGAATTGTTACTTTAGAATGTTTAATTTTATGTTATGTGAATTTTACCTTAATAAAAAAAATTTTTAAAGACATACAGAGGAAAAAAAGTCATATAGAAGAAAGTGGTAAATAGAAATCCTACCTTAAGACACTCCTCTACACATATATATATAAACTCTCCATGTTATTGTACTCACAGGAATTGCTGTTAGCGTCTGTTTTCCCAGCTTTCATGTGCCTGCTTGAATTCTGCTGAGATTTGTTCTGCTCTTCTCCAGTGAGTAGGGCCTTTATTTCAGAAGGGATTTTTCCTTGGTCCATTGCCATACACCACTGCTTGTACTGAAATATGTAAAATATATTTAAGTAAAATTTTACTAGTCAGAGTTCAGGAACCACTGGTAGAAATGCTAGACACAAGAACTCCCATGTTGGGAGGTCCAACTGGATGCCGGGACTCCCATCCTCCACTCTGTTTCCTATTTCTAACTTAGGACATGGATGAGGCCTGCCATTTTGCACAAGAGGGTAAAACTGCTATTGAATCTTCTGGTGATATACTGAAGTACTGCTCAGATTAAAAAGTCCCCTCTGGCCCTGGCCGGTTTGGCTCAGCAGTTAGATTATTGGCCTGTGGTCTAGAGACACCCGGGTTCGGTTCCCACTAAGGGCATGTTCCTCGGTTGCAGTTTGTCCCTGGCCCTGGTTGGGTCGTGTGGGTGGTGGCCACTCGATGTGTCCCTTTCATGTCGATGTTTCTCTCTCTCTCTCTTCCTCTCTCTCCCTCCCACTCTATCTGAACAAAAAACGGAAAAATGTCCTCAGGTGAGGATAAAAAAAAAAGTCCCCTCTGGTTAAAAGAACGTCTCCCCACAGTGTGCTACTAATTAGAATTCATCTCTTTTGGTTAATGGCCACATTATTTCTACTCCTCAAACAGACATTTTTGTAATTCCTTTCTCTCTTTCATAAACAATCAATAAATATCTACTTTCTTCCAGACTGCCGGAGTATGTACCATAAACTTTGGGGTATACAAAAATTAATTATGCCAAAGATTATGCCCTAAAGTAGCTTACATTGCAAAAGGTGAGAAATAATTTATAGAAGTCAAATTCAATATACTAAAAAGAAAAAGAAATCTAATGAATAGTGGACATCTGAACTCTCTTTATGCCTGTCTTATTTTCTTACCTCCTAACAAGCGGATGTAGCCTGTCCTAGTTTTGTAATGATCATGGTAGTATCACTCTCCTCTCCAACCTGTTACCTCCTCCCTTGAGCTCATAGTAATGGGGTTTCAATTCTCTTTTACCTATTCTCTTTTACATTTCTACAGCCACCACCCAAAATCTGAATGAATAAATGAAAGAATGAAACATGCCAAATAAATAAATGTTTAAACAAATGGTATCATACTATTTATATTGTTACATATTGCTATACTGCTTTTTTCACTTAGCAATATATTGTGAATGTTTTTCTACATCAATAAATATATAGGTGCATTGTGATTTTTATTGCGTGCAAAGTAGTCCAATATATGAGTGTAGTGTAATTTAACCAATCCCCTATTGTTGTACTTTTAGATTATTTTCCATTTTTTTTGTATCATAAACAATCCTTCGGTGAAATAATATGCATTCCACTCCTACCAGTAGCGTATGAAAATGCTTATTTGCCCACATCCTGGCTGACCAATGAATGTTCTTACCCATGTTTGTCAACTGGATAGACAGGTGAAAATTGGTTTTTTTCTTCATGTTTTAATATATATTTCTTTGACTGTGAAGCTTAGGTTGATTTTTTTCATCTATTCACTACTGACAAACTTTCTTACCATTTCCAGTTCCTCTCTGAGGGCACATATGGCTCTTTCCCGACTGGATACCAACTCTTCCAAATACTGATATCTCAGTTTCTTTCTGGCCCGGCATTCTCTTGCACTCTGCCGGCTCCTCTCAAGTTTTGCCTTCAAGTCTATTTTGGCTGGCTTCCGACCACGTTTGCCGGGCTTCTTTACTTTGCCTCCAACCACCTTCAGCAAGACAGAGAAGAAATAATGTCTTTTTATCTTAGTTTTGTGTCACAGTAAGGTGACTGTGGCTGCATATTAGCAAAGAAAACATTTACAAATAATAAATTAATGAAGCTTATGGAACTCAAAAAGCATAATCCCATCAAATGCCTTATGAGGCTTTGCTTCATTTTTTTTTTCCTGGTATTTTTGATACAACGAATGTGAGAGAAGAAACACGTTTTCGTTATTTCTTCAATAACAAACTTTAAATAGTTTGACAGTAAACTATAGGTAGCTGGATAATAAAAACTAAAAAAGTGCCAAATTTTTATTGACTTGAGAAATAAGAAAAAAAAATCAATATTCAAAATTGTAAATTCAGTATGATCTCAATGTTATAAAACAACAGAGAAGAAAAGGATGTTAATAAAAGGTCAATGGGGATTTCTCTGATAAGTGTGATTATAGTCAGCTTTTTCTCACCTGCATTTTTTTTTTTTTAAATCCTCACCTGAGGATATTTTTCTATTTATCTTCAGATACAGTGGGAGGGAGAGAGAGAGAAACATCAACATGAGAGGGACACATTGACTGGCTGTCTCTGGCATGACCATGACCAGGGCCAGGATGAGCCACAACCGAGGTACATGCCCTTGACCAGAATTGAACCTGTGACTCTGGTCCACAGGCCAATGCTCTAACCGCTGAGCCAAACTGGCCAGAGTTCACCTGTATTTTTTTTTTTATCCTCACCCGAGGACATTTTTCCATTTTTTGTTCAGATAGAGTGGGAAGGAGAGAGAGGAAGAGAGAGAGAGAAACATCAATGTGAAAGGGACACATCGAGTGGCTGTCTCTCACAGGGCCCAACCAGGGCCAGGGACAAACTGCAACCGAGGTACATGCCCTTAGCAGGAACCAAACCCGGGTTTCTCTGGACCGCAGGCCGACGCTTTAACCACTGAACCAAACTAACCAGGGCCACCTGTATTTTTTTTTAATGATTTTTAAATGTTTATAATTAGAAAAATTATAAAATTTGTATGTAAAATTATGTATATATAAAAACAAATACGTATCCTAAGTAATTTGGTTATAAATTCCCTCTTCAAATTTGTTGAGCTCAAAGGAACACACAGAAGTCCCTGAAATCTTCGGGATACTTCTCTTCTGCCTTTATTTATATTTATTTATTTATTTATCCTCCCCCGAGTACATTTTTCCATTTTTTGTTCAGATAGAGTGGGAGGGGGGTGGAGAGAGAGAGAAATATCGATGTGAAAGGGACACATCGAGTGGTTGCCACCCGCATGACCCAACCAGGGCCGGGGACAAACTGCAAACAAGGTACATGCCCTTAGCGGGAACCGAACCCGGACTCTGTGGACCGCAGGCCAACACTCACTGCTGAACCAAATCGGCCAGGGCTATTCTACCTTTAGAAGCCTATAATTATAACCCTAGACTGTTTCAGGAGAGTTCTTCCTGTTATTTATTTACCTGCATAGGCACAATTTTTTGGTGACTGGCAAAGTAACTTAATCTTCTTCATTGTTTAGCTATGGAACCTCCCCAAGTTCTTATACAAGATGTAACTAACTATGAGGTAAATATGAACTTTTACATTCATGAACCTGAACTTACAGATCAAATAGCTTTTCTTTAAAGTAGTCACCTTTAAGGGGGGAGGGGCATTTATTCCAATGAACAAATTTTTTGGGAAAGTACTTTAGGAGCCAATTTCTGACAAGCCACAATACAATATGCCTTTACAGTCTACGTTATTTTAGAGCAACACATTTTTCTTTAAATTCCCAAACAACTGGATTATCTACTTTGTTTATTTGACGAGGTTTTGAATGACATCCAGTTCTTTCTGAAAATTACCCTCAGTGAATAAAAATGCTATAGCTTCAATATTGTGAAAGAAATATAGCAGAGGCTTTAAAGGCCATTCTAAAAGAGAAGGTGCAGATCAAACACTGGCAGATCATTAGAATACATGAAGAAACCTACCAAGGTAACAAAACTCAAAGGATCAATATTCATTTGGCTATAAAAACTCTGATTTGTTTGTTTGAAATCATTAATAATATCATACACCAACTATGCCCAGTACCCTATAAAGATCAGATCATTACTAAGTATAATGGTTAGGTCAAGAAAACCACACTTTAAATGTGGATCGGCTACATTGACCAGACAGGGTGTCATAACATGATGGCTAACCACTACATCTAGCATTTTATGGGATGGCTCTGAAATGAAACTGAATACTCCAAGGGAAAAAATTTTTTCCTTCCCACTCCCATCTTAAAAGCCAACTGCTCCCAAATTAGTTTCAACTTTTCAAACACTGGTCTTTTAAAGCCTTTCTATTCTGCGTCATCATGTCCTCATTCCAACATAATAATATATGTCTCAGGAAAATTTCCCTCAGAGTTAAATATTTGATTAGCAATTCCAGGATGACTAAGTTGATCCAAATATTACTATGGGCTAAATTTTAAATTATGTTTATATCACATCAATTGCACAATTTTATAAAATATTTTGAAATCAATCACCCTACATTAAAACACAGTGTACTTGCTTTGCTACAGTTTTTAGAAAGCAATACATTTACAGCATAAACGCAAGTCTGTAGTGAAATAAACAGTAATCACCTCTATTCTTTATGTAGCAAAATGAGTCATCACACAACACTATCTATATTGCTTTTCAATTAATGCAGAAGTGGCTGCTTTTGAGAAGCCAACAAGAGAACACAGAGTACTTCACAGATTTCCACTGATTTTCTAAACAAACCTAGCACAGTCATAAAAATCAGACAAAAGTTATAACTCTTTGTTTAGTTTTCATGGTGGCAACATATTTAAATTGGAACTATTTTATTCCTTTTTTAAATTAGAAAGGCATAGAAGTAAATCCAGGGTTCCTGTATTTTATGCCATCTCCTGTAAAATTACATTTAAAGCCACAAAACACCATCTCTCTAGTTCAACTTTTCCTCAGGAACATGGCAAATTTTTGGCTTTTGGTGCCAGCTAAAATCTGTTAAGTGTACCAGTTTTCAAAAGAGTCAAGTACATCCCAGGATTATTGTAAATGTTAAGCATAATAATGGGTGACAGCACTTTGTAAAGAAAAAGGTATACAAATGTAGGTTACTATACTAGTTGCCAATTATAGTAGTTAACTAAACTTTAAATATTTCATAAGCCATAAAGATTGGAGAATGAATAGGGGAAGTTAATAGAAACTAGGAACCAGAAACTAAAACTGAAATCAACCTCACAAATTCCTTAAATATCTCTGGGTCAAAAATCATTCGTACCTATGTTTCATAAAATTTTCACAAACTCGGTGATAACCACATTGTCCCCTCACTTTCTCCTATTTCTTCTATGAGGAAGCTCTTTTTTCTTATCTGTATTTTTTATGATTTTTAAATGTTTCTATTTTATGTGTTTAAAGGCTGAGAATTAAGATCATACTGCTGGATTCAGCTATGAAATAGTTCCTGATAATTCTAAGTTTAACCATTATAGAGAAAGAACAGTCTGCAAAGGCCTGACTGTGGAGGGCTCAGGCTTCCCAGTCAACAGGTTTAACTTCCGCAGAAAGAGGAGACACGATTGTAGTTGCATACTCTTTAGGGGCTTATTAAAATGAGAAAGTCTCCAGTGTCCAGATTAAATCCTATTCCAAAGGTTCTTGAATCACCTTAGGGACGACGAACAACTTAAATTCAGGGCTAAATAGGGTGTGCAGGGAGGGAACACTCACAATGGAAAGGCCTTGAGTTCGGCACTTTACATGTTCTCATATTATTTCACACTTTAGCTGAGGCAAACTCTATTATCCTCATTTTTTTCAGGTAAAGGGGGAAAGTTAACTCCTTTATTCAACAACCATTTATTGAATACCCACTATGCCCCAAATACTGTAAAACTCCAGGAATATTAATACAAGACAGGGTTCTTACTTTTCATGTATTTATATGTGAAACACAGCAGACATGAAATAAACAGTAACATTATAAAGGGCAGGATTATATATATATATATATATATATATATATATATATATATATAGGAGTACTGGAAGTAGACACACACAGAGAGATATGCATACTCACCTCTTTATTTCATAGATAACAAAATTTTAGTCCAGATATTTTCAATGTTAGAGAAGGGTCTAGACCCAAGTCCCCTGATCTGCAATATAGCAACCGGTCACAAGGTAACTCACTGTCATCAAGCATGACTATTCCCCTCCTGGTTCCTAGGTGATACTCTTTAACTTGAACTTGTAATTCCCTGAAAAAGCTCTACCTAAAACTGACAGGTGTTTTATATGCACTGCTATATTAATGCTATATAGTCATTCATTTAATCCAACTCACTGGGGAACGAGGCACTTGGGAAGGCAGTGGTGAGGTTAAGTAACAAACTTTTTCATTTTAAGCTTACTTGAAATGTTTGTCTATTACTGTGACTCTCCACACCCACCACACTGAAGTCATGCCAATTTATTCCTTTATAAAATCTCTGATTTAGTTCCTCCTCTCTATTCCTACTGCCTACATTAGTCAGGGCCCTACTCACAGATTATTACAATAGGTTCCCAATGGGTCTCCCTACCATCTCTCCTTTTCTACCCTCACTCCCCTAGTTAATCCGTCTTGCAAAGAGCTTGCAAATGACCCTTTCTTTTCAGCTTATTACTGTCATATTTTTACTTTAGTGTATTTTTCTTCATTGTAAACAAAAGTAATACCTGAACAGTATAGAAGGGAGGCACTTTAATGGCCCTTTGGCTCGGGACTGCTTACTAGGTCACCATATCCAGTATATGAGCTTCCTGTGGCTGCTGTAACAATGACCACAAACTTGGTGGCTTAAAACAACAGAAGTTTGTACTTTCTGTTCTGGAGGCCAGAAGTGTGGCAGGGCTGCACTCCCTCTGGAGGCCCTAGGCGGGAATCCATCCTTCACTGCGTCCAGGTTTTGGGG